AAAAAAAAAAAAAAAAAAAAAAAAAAAAAAAGTTTGTTTTTCCGTTTGATCTCTTACTCTATTTACTAAATATTGTAAGAAAACAATAACAAGGAAAAAAAACTCTGAACTCTAATTGTTTTTTTTCAAGATTATTAATTGCAATGTGAGAGACTGATTCATTAATCTTTAAAATAGTAACGAGTGCATTGTTGTTTTTTGATAATTAGCCAGAGAAATTCGGTGAGAGGAAATCGTCGACGGAAGGTTGTTAGAAGAAAAATGCTTAAAATAAAAGAGAGAGAATGATGAAATTTTGACTAATCGGTCTACACTTTAACCACTTTAACCACTTGAGCTATTCAATTTGTTTGTTGATAGGTTGGCTTCTCCGCAATGATATACACCGATGGCTTCAACCTCACTTTGATACCACTTGTTGTTTTCGATAATCAACCAGAGAAATTCGATGAGACGAAATCGTAGATGGAAGGTTGTTAGAAGAAAAAATGCTTAAAATAAAAGAGAGAGAATGATGAAATTTTGACTGCCTTTAATAATAAGGTTGTTAATATTCTGGAGAGATTTCCTATTTAAATATAAATTATCCTAAAAAATAATGGTGGCCAACTAAATTTGAGTCACTAGCTACAAAATTTTCGTCTAAAACTTATCCATTCAGGTCGAATGGTCAAACTGATTCGACCTGTTTTGTCGAATGGTCAAACTGATTCGACCTGTTTTGTCGAATGGTCAAACTGAGTTTTCTGCAATCGTGTGAACCTAAATTAGGAACAACTGAAAAACCCCAGGTTTTATCTAACATGCATAAATTAAACTCACCTACACGTAACCCATAATACCGTAAACTTCCCTCATTAAGAAATACTAGTGGAAGACTTCAAAAGTAAATATACAAATTTTAAAGTGAAGATAACTATTGCAAATTCTTTAAACTAACGACACAAAACAAACTGAAACCTTGTTATTTTATTTTCACAAGCGGGCTAATCTTTTTCGACGAAAAGATTTAGCATCTTGAACTTGTGGCAAAATAGCTCGATTTCATGAGGATAAAAAGGCAATATTCACATGGATAAAAAGACATGGGAAATAAAAGGAAATTGATGTTGAAAATAAGGTGGGGCTAATGGGACAAGTTTTATAATTAAGATTGAGAGTGATATGTGTATTTCCATGTCTCTAAAATCATTACCTCCCAAATTAATCCATCCCCTATGTCGGGTATGTGTCCCTCTTTAACTTCCCCAATAATTTCACCCTTAATCTCCCCAAATGCTCCAATTTTGTACTTTATCCCCCTTTTTTCAATTATCTATCATTCTCGACCCCATCTTACCTCAACTTTGTAATGTGATAGTCGCTTTCTTTACATGTTGCCACCCTAAACTTTCATCCCGCTTTTGAATTGTAATACTAAAAAACAAATCTTGATTTCAACTCTATGCATGTATTTTCGGACTTCCCCTCAAATAGTATCAGAGTCAAACATTGATCAATGTGCTAACGAGGAGGCTGAGCCTCGAAGAGAAATGGACACAAGTCAGTGTGCCAACAAAAATGTTGGATCCTAAATTGATGATCTTACATCGATTAGAGAAAAGTACGAATATCAGCGATGACACATGGAAATGTATAGACTTAGAAATGTTTATTAAGATTTTAATTTAAAACTAAATGGACAAAAATAAATGAATAATTTGGAAGAAAAAAAGTGGGTGACGTGGGGTTACAATGAATGAATACAATAATTGCATGTGGGAGACACGTGGACGGTAGAGATAGAAGAGGGACAGGACACTTAGAGATTCTGAGATTTGATTAAACTGAAGTGTGTGGTGGTTGAAGTGTCCTTAGGAAGGGTTAGTAATGCCCTTATTTGTCTTTCTTTTGGGAAACAATTGCCTTTTCGCCTTTGCTTCGCCAACTCATCTCATTTCACTTTTCCTTTTCTCCTCTCACTTTCCTACACGTGCTCACCACGTTCGAGTCCGATTACGAAACTATCTGAAACTCACATTTTGAGTCTTCGAAAATCGCATTAAAAAGTATAAAACCGAACACTAAGTTGATTTAAAGTTACTGAAAGTATGTTTTTATAAGTGATAAAAGTAATTTACAATATTTGAAAATCACTATCAAATGTGACCTAATTTTGGCTTTGGTTTCACATTTTACGTAAAGATAATCATATTGAGACGATTTGAATGTTAAACTATCATATTCACTGTCTATGCTGCTTTAGTTCTTTGATATGAACTCGGGATGAAATCAACTAATTGCAACTTTTAATGAAAATTTTTGTGTGTACAAATGAGTTATTCTTGACGTCTTACTTAACTTAGGAAGATCATTAACTTCGGTCCGTAGATGATTAAAGAAATTCAACTAAATCAGTAGCTATCTAGTAGTAGGGTATTCATATAACCCGATAATCTCATCAACTCGAACTATCTAATTCAATCAACCTAAAATTTTGGATTGGTCCAAAAGATTTTTTCAACCCAACTCAATATTTATTTGTAGCTCGTAAAAATGTAACCCGTGTTATATGATTTTCTTCACTTCAAAACCTTAGAGGCTTATTAAGAAAGAAAACATTAAGGATTAATGGTTTATTTATTTAAAGAAATTAATATATGAAAGTACTTAGTTTCACAATAATGCAAGGACCTTCTTCCAAAAAGGAATTATTATTATTATTATTTTTATTTGAATTTTCAAAACCATCTTTTTAGCTTGTTTATACTTTATTTCTTTCATTACTTTCAGTATGGTGCATCGAGTGTCGAGGGTCGTCTAAAGAATTAATTGTTATAATAATTCATGTATTTTGACATTTGATGACCCTGACATTTCTCTGCATGCCCAGTGTCACCATTGTATATTTTGAATTGTGCGGCGTCATGATCTTGATGCACTCATGACAAGCATTGAGTGCAATGCTCACCCTCACTGTAACATACGTATGCGCCACAGGGCCTAGGAGTAGTAGAAGCTAACACTATGCCTCCCCCTAAGGTATATTATGAGGTATTTTCAATCTCGGTAGAATAAACATAATTTTGGTGAATGGTCATACAGTCTCGTGGAGTATTTTTACGGTGTCTGATCAACACTAAATTTGGCGAGTATTCCTATTTCATATACACGGACTTAACTTCAAAGCCGCATGCCCAAACTCCTTTCGGAACTCCAATCTACCCGACCCTTTATCAAGTCTATCTTTGTCCCTCTTGCTTGTTGTTGCCTTCATCTTGCCTATGTCTCATCTTGGCTTTAATGTCCATCTCTTTGGTGAGTTAGATGATGCACCATCCTCCTCGGTCGCATCATGGCACTTGTCTATCTTGGCCCTCATGTAGTTGGATGGGCGCCACTTGAGGGTCGTCACTTTTCTTGTCTTAATATGAGGGTCACAACCTACTCAACATGGTCATATCAATTACTTCTTATTTCTAAGAGTGAATGTTACTTCCACAGACTAACACGAGTCATATCATTTCAAGAGACTGCCTAAGAAAATTCTCATGAGTCAGACCAACCTCTTTGTCCTTACTCATATACATTTTAAAAAATTCTCAAGAGATCGCCCCATATAGAATTGTTCTAAGCAAAACAAGCATAATTTTGGAGTTTCTATGGTTGAGCCACCAAAAAGGAAGGTGTGTCTTATTGGAATAGGTAGTGACTTTCAATTCTTCTAAGCTTTTCTTACTTATCATATCTTTAAGATCCCTCTCATTTAGATGTGGTCCGGATTCATTCATGTACCTCTCTTTTACTCGGGTGTCACAACAAAAAACCAAATGACTATGAAAAAAAACGCACATAATAACTTATCAAAGGAAAAAGTTCAATTATTAAATTTGAAATGCGTTTTTACTTTAATTCTAAGAGTTTCATCTTTTTTATCTCAAAT